ATTTAGTATGACAGTCATTCTGCAGAGAGCATTACGCATTTCAACTGAAGGCCCTATCCCTTCTCATAACAATTTTCATCCTGTATTCTAGAGGAAAATCATCTGATTTCATAACAACCGTCATCCGGTTGCAGGTATCATTCGAAAAAGCGATTTCGGTGTTTTGGTTTGAATGGTCTGAGGTTTCATTCGATCAGAGGATGATGTTTGTGTAAAGTGTACCAAACAACAGAGACAAAGCGAGGTTTTCAACGATGAAATCTGACCGATGCACGACCAGTGTAAACGAATCTCGGAACGATAATTGGATGCCGTAGAATTGCAGAAGCCGTTGGTACTCTTAAGCTTGGTTTAGACTAGGCAAGTCAAATGATCAACTCAGTTGAATTCAATTGGCTTGAAAAGTTGAGCCTGGTTCAACTTTTTTCAATTCAAGTGAGTTGATCAAGTCAGTTGAATGGCATGGTTTACACGCTCAATTCGCGTTCAAGTCAGTTGAATTCAACTGACTTGATCAATTGACTTGCCCTGTCTAAACCCAGCTTTACGGAGATCCATTTTACAGTCTAAGTTTTAATTCATCCGGGATTTGGAGAGTGGGAAAGTTGAAGTTGTTGAGCCAAGCTGCTGGCAGCGAAGAGAGAATTTTGAAATAGGGTTCTTTTAGAAATGTTAAGGGACTGAAAACTTACTTCCACATAATCCCTCCTGTGGCAGATCTTATTGCAGTTGAAAAACCATTTGTATTTTCTTCTGATGACCCTCAGACAACGATCACGTATCGGTTCAAGTCAAGATCAATCAGCTTGAACTCCTACACAAAAGTAGCATAGCTTCTGGGACACGGGGAACGTCTTCATGCAGTACCTACTTAATCTGCAGTTGCAGCAGTAGATTTCGCTCGAGTATGACAGCATCACACTCGCAGAGATTGATTAGATCATCTTCGATTGCATGATGCATAAGCGTTCCATTCAAACTTCAGGGGGGCACCGCTTTCGGAATGGTACTGGGCTTATCGAATTTGACCAGATAAATTCCGTTCTCTATCAGTTATCGTTTAACGTGCATGTTGATCCCCACGTCTTACAAAGGAAGCTCATCCGAATTAGTGAAACAGTGAAGGGAGGAATATTGTACAAAACATTCGGTCCCGGCTACATGGCATGGGTTGGCTATCCATTATGGGAGATCCAATCTGATCCGGCTGAGCTCGTTATTTGTGAAAATGAAACTCATCGAATCCTTAATTCCTACTGAAGATAAAGGTAATGATTATTTTATTTTTTATTTTTCAAAACTTAGTTTTATGAAAATATACCTGTATCATTGAATGTTGAATTTTCAGCTTTCTTTTTAATATTACTTTATTTTTTCACTTAAATTACTATGTATTTTCCACCAAAAAACAAACTAGATCGACTACATGCGCCATTGCGATTAAGTTGTAATTTTTATTTTTAAATTTATATATCCTTGGTATACACTGAACGAATTCCACAGCGTTATTCTAACTTAGTATAATTTTGAAGAGAATTTTAATCGAATCAATGCATACAATTTGCGTATCCCAAAAATGATTAAATTTTAGTCATATTTTTGAGTGAAGGAAGAAAAGAGATGGTTAAGTTTTCCTCACCATACCAGTTGATATTTATGAAAAATGGGTAGTTTTGGCGTGAGGACATGCACTTCCAATGAATTTTACCAATACATTTAGAAAATGATGATCGAAGAATATTTCAAAAAGAAGAAGTAAACAAAATAATTACCCTTTGTAGAACCTTAAAATCATCCGTGATTATCTGTTTGTGATTTTGCTGATCTCAAGATCAGCAGTGATTTTCGGCCATTCCTGATTTTGAAGTTTTCGCTCCACAAGTCTTAAATGATTCCATTTTGGGTCCTAATCATCTTGCCAAAATTTGACGGGTATTACCAACAATCAATACGAAACTAACGATTTTAACTTGGCTCACTACTTGACTAGCCTATTGGTCCCAAGCAAACGATTAACGTACCCCATTTTAGTCGAAATTCTACTACTACACAATGTTTGTTTTGGTTCGCTATGAAAGTTTGACGGATAAAATGAGGGGTTAGTGGATTTTCCTATGTTTCGAGTGGTGAATCGATTAGCTTGGGACCGAAGAGAGTACCAAAGCTGAACCAAAAAGTTGAGCACGTTTTTTCGGGACCTTCTAGCAACAATCAATACGAAACTAACGATTTTAAATTGGCTCACCACTTTAGTAGCCTATTGGTCCCAAACAAACGATTAACGTACCCTATTCTAGTTGAAATTCTATTACTACACTATGTTTGTTTTGATTCGCTATGAAAGTTTGACAGATAACATCAGGGGTGTGTGGATTCATGCAGAACATGCAGGGGTGAGTGAAATAGCTTGGGACTGCTTGGGACCGTTGTTCTGGTACTGAGTGAGCCAAAAATAATAATGATTTACTTCGGGACCCAGTGGTCTTAGAGTTACCTCTATGCTTCTAGTCTTAGAGTTACCTCTATGGTATTACTATGGGAAAATCAATTTTTTCGTTGGTATCATTCTAAACATGCTGCATGGCGGTTTGAGGGCATATTCGTTACTTGCACTTGTAGAAAATTTTCTCAGCTACAGCTTTGTTGAGGACTCAAATTTTGTAGGACTTATAGAAAAATTGTTATTCAATCAAACTTAAAGACATAAGTTTTCCACTCATGATTTATAAGTTAATCTGCCAATACTGGTATGAGGAAATTATCCCTAGTAAGCCAAGCCAATGCATTTGTTTTCAATATGTCAATCACGTAAGAAACCGCATCATGGGTACAGAAAAGGTTTTGCGTTCTAACTTGAATGTGTTCCTCGTGGGTCCGGTGAAAGCAGACTTTGTTTTGCAGAAGATTCCGACAAATAGAGAGACATTGCAGGTGTTTTTCTTTTCCCAACTTGTTGTGGTGTTAGTTTCTCATTACTATTGTGTATTATTATACAGGTAACTCTAAGACTAGTAGGTCCCGAAGAAACCTGCTCAACTTTTTGGTTCAGCTCTGCTACTATCTTCGGTCCCACAAGCTAATCGATGCACCCTTCGAAACATAGGAAAATCCACGAACCCCTCATTTTATCTGTCAAACTTTCATACACGCTATGTTGAATCAACCCAGTACAGTAGATGGCACCCAGTCTTGTAGCCAGTAAGGAGTTGTCAAAATCTGGGTAAACTAGTTTTGTTCTGATGAGTAGAATCTACCCAGATTCTGGGTAAATGGTTGTTATTGAAATTTTCCCAAACTTAAACATGGCGCACGTTTGAAAGGGAGATTGTTGCGCTGCCAGTGAAATGTTTACTGCTCAAAATATACAATTTGACCCTAAAAATGTTACAGCTACGGAACTGTTTGGATTGCGAATGCTACCAGCAGCTATAGTTAGTAAGTATATTGTTAATTTCTGAACTTTAAACTTTCTTATAATTGTAGGTTATCCAGATATTCTGTGCTGCTTTTCTCGATGAAAAATGTTTGTTGTTGTTCCTAATTTATAAAACTTATTTAAAATCCAATCTCTATAAATGGTTAGCATTTGTAGTGATATCCTTATTTGGGAATTTCAATGCCGTATTCCATAATTATAAAATTTTTCGACAATCATTAACAGGCTAGACGAGCCGAGAGATAAGCTATAGTCGGGTGAGGTTATGTTTGATAGAGCTGCTGCAGCGCTCATATCATCAAATTTCTATTAAATGGGTATAGTTTACCCAGTTATCAAATGTCAACATCTGAGCAACCGTTACCCAGTTTCTGTCGCAAGTACGTTTACCCGGATTAGGTTCAGTTTTGACCGAACTGGGTAGACTCTACCCATTTTTGGGTAGGTTTCAAGTAACGTGTAGCGAATCAAAACAAACATTGTGTAGTACTAGAATTTTGACCAGAATGGGGTATGTTAATCGATTTGCTTGGGACCGATAGGCTAGTCAAGTAGTGAGCCAATTTAAAATCGTTAGTTTCCAGCGGGGTATTATCAACCAGTCCCAAGCAAATCGATTAACGTGACCCACTCTAGCCGAAATTCTAGTCCTACACTATGTTTGTTGAAAGCTCGTGGATTTTCCTATGTTTCGAGGGGTGCACCGATTAGCTTGGGACCGAAGAGAGTAAAAGAGCTGAGCCAAAAAGTTGAGCACGTTTCTTCGGGACCTTCTGGTCTTAGAGTTACCTCTATGGTATTATCAACAATCAATACGAAACTAACGATTTTAAATTGGCTCACCACTTTAGTAGCCTATTGGTCCCAAGCAAACGATTAACATACCCTATACTAGTTGAAATTCTATTACTACACTATGTTTGTTTTGATTCGCTATGAAAGTTTGACAGATAACATCAGGGGTGTGTGGATTCATGCAGAACATGCAGGGGTGAGTGAAATAGCTTGGGACTGCTTGGGACCGTTGTTCTGGTACTGAGTGAGCCAAAAATAATAATGATTTTCTTCGGGACCTTCTGGTCTTAGAGTTACCTCTATGGTATTATCATAGAGGTAACTCTAAGACTAGAAGGTCCCGAAATAACGTGCTCAACTTTTTGGCTCAGCTCTGGTACTCTCTTCGGTCCCAAGCTAATCGATTCACCACTCGAAACATAGGAAAATCCACTAACCCCTCATTTTATCTGTCAAACTTTCATAGCGAACAAACATGGTTTAGTACTAGAATTTCGACTAAAATGGGGTACGTTAATCGTTTGCTTGGGACCGATAGGCTAGTTAAGTAGTGAGCCAATTTAAAATCGTTAGTTTCGTATTGATTGTTGGTATTTATTGCTGAATGAATGAGTTATTTGCTTCATAGGCTGAAGTGAGGGATTAGGCTGACATTACATTCCGTAACCCGACCCAGAAATACACTTATTTTTACCATAAACAACATATCCCAAGTACCCATTTTCTGTAGAAACGAAACGATATCCCAAGACAATTTCAATATCCTTACCTTTGTTGCTGTTGAAGAGCTTGCTGCTGGGTAGGATGAATGTACTGCGTTATTTGCTGATGTTGATGTTGCTGCTGCTGTTGTTGCTGCTGCTGCTGTTGATTGTAGTACTGCTGAAGAGTTTGCTGCTGATGCGCGTACTGACTACCCTGCTGTTGTTGCTGTTGTTGTAAGTGGGCGTAGTGAGCGTGATACTGTTGCTGTTGCTGATGTTGTTGCTGCTGCTGCTGCTGCTGTTGCTGCTGTTGCTGATGATGAATGCATTGATGATGATGCTGAAACTGTTGCTGCTGTTGATGATACGTGTGCGAGTACTGCGGTGAGCTGCCGTACTTGCCGTGGTGTCCGGCGCTGCTACCGGCACTGCCTCCAGCAGGATGACATGGAATACCGCTCGATGTTACTGCCGTGCAGTTTTGCTGGTGAGTGTTGCTGTTGCCGCTGTTGCTCGTCGGGGGAGGAGGTGCACTATACTGTGGTGGACATATCCCGATGGACAAGGGCATTACTAGCTGATTCGAATCACTCGTTTGCGACTTGGGCACAATCGAGTTGTGCGATACTGAAATGGAAGAGGTGTTCGGTTTTAGTAGTAGGTATTCTCACGTGAATCCCCACCAACTTACCACTGCTCCCGGTGTAGTAGCTCGAGCTGAGTAGCTTCCGGGTTCGCGGTTGTAGCCAACAGCAGAAGAAGAGTGTCGCTAGGATGATGATCAGTATCACAATGGTCCCGATCAGGATACCCCAGATCAGCGTCGGTAGGCCCCAGATTGACTTTGCCGCGGTGGCCTCAATCGGATACATCCGGGCGGTTAGCGTCACCGACTGCTGGTACAGACCATTGGAACTGTTGAACAGCAGTACGTCCTCTGGCCCTGTGGGAGTTGGAGAAACAGGGGAATTTTAATTTCAAACTTTTTCGAAATCCAACGATAGGCGCAGATCAATGACTTTCCCTCCCAACTGGTGACGATGCCGATGGAGGCAGAGTTGTTTTACCTGGCAGAACGACGAAATCTTCGGTCCCTGCGGCGGTGGCAGTCGTTACCAACGTGGGTGACTGACTGGGTGACGCAATGGCAACGGTGGAGGATGTTACATTGAGAAAGTCAAACGGAAAACCCACCCCAAACGGGGGCGGTGAGGGCTGTAGGGACGCCGCTGGTGGCGGTATCGAAGGAAACGGAGAGGTTTCCAACTTGTCGAACATGTTCAACGCATTTATACTGGCTACGTAGCTGGACGACGACATCATCGGGTCGGGCGACGGCGCCAGCGTGTCACACCAAAGGGCAGAAGCACAGACACTTGTTGCCACTTGTAGAAGATTTATTCAGTCTTTGCTCGCCAGTTTCACGCTGCCTGGTTGGTTGGAAGCATAGTTTTTTTTTGCGTTACCAATGTAAGGATTTTACAGTCTATTATTAAATCACAGATGTGGACTGTAGTTGAGGGACGGGTTGTGTGTCATGCCATCAGCACAGACTACAGCTGCAACGGGCGGTTATTTTTATTATATTCGTATTCGTAATCGGTTTATTGTAGCAAATCCAAACGGATATTTCACATGCGCACTTTTGTTCATATGGCAAAAAGGTAAACGTTTTATATAAACAACTGATGTATACCTATATTTGAACCATAATTATCGGATCAAATGTGCCATTTTGGATGTATTTTGATTAGTTCGATGAAATAAGATTTTTTTTAAATAAAAATAACGAAGTTTGAAGATAAGTTTATTACGAATATGTATTCAATAATTGATGCTAAAATTCCAACAAAATTCAGAACCGATCATTGCAGATAACTCACATCAGGAATGAATCACCCTAACAAGCCGCAAACACTCAGTGCATATTTTCGTTCGTGTAGGTTTACCTACGGCACGCAATAAAGAGTGATTTCATTTTCATTATCCCATTAGTTTCATTTTTCTCATCGGAAGGTGGATATGATGGGCACACCGATCACAAACTGCCAGTTGAAACGTGACTGATTTTTTGTCGTCACCGTCACGGCGGTCTCGCTTTGGACGTTCGAGTTGTTGTCATTTTCAGCAAACTGTGAGGGATAATGAAGTGTGTATATTTAAATGAGATTTGCTGCCTGGAAGTGCCGATGACCAAATTCGATCTAGGCTATTTTCGAATACAAAATGCCAATCGGGAAGAGCATTGTTTCAATGTCACCAAATTGACGAATCCGGAGTGTTTGATGAACCAATCATTGTGTATTTGCGTTTATTTGATGCTACAGAAACACAATGGCGATGAATGTTTCAATTTTCAATTGAAATGCTACACGTCTTCAGACACGACCCAATCAAACAGAAGCCAATGTACTATGTACTAATTAATTTCGCTACCAAACGATATACATTCATCGAGAATCCAGAAGATTGCGGTCCATTGTAGTCAATTCACAGTAAAAGTGATTCAAGTGTGATGCAATGCTAATGAGAAAGCGATTGAGCGACACACGTGCGCGGGAAAATGAAGCTTGTTTTAGAGGACTCAATTATTACCATTCCGTATCTATACCGCCAGAATGAGTCGTTTGTAGAACATTTTCTGCTGTTTGCATTCAAATAGCAGAATAATTACCTAATTGATGCTACACACAAGAATGCACTTTCATAGATACTGGTGTGCAGTGTGAACACTTAGACCCATCTAATGTTGAGATTCAATAGAAACATTCCTTCAGTTGCTTCAACCTTGAAATCTGTTAACAACAATCAGAAATAATGATAAATCAGCTGATCCGTTTCTAATTGGCGAGTCAAAGTGGATGAAGGGTATGACTAAACGTGAATACAAATGAGCAACGGTTGATAGGCTGCAAGATAGCCCTGCCGATGATTCCCAGTTCGCATTGAAATTGTGCACTGCACTCACAGTTTAGAATAAGAAGCGGTGAATGTTAATTTTGAGATTTACGCTAAATAAAACTCAATGGTTCAACATCGGCATTTGTTTTGGAATGTCTTCTTTAAGAGAGTGTAGTATGGTGACCAGCAAATTTCCATGAAAGTTAGAGGTTTTTTTTCTCAGAATTTTGAAACGCTTCCCGATACATATTTAACTTGTGCGATATACGCTTAAATTAAGCATAAAACCGAATGCGATTAAAGGTCATTGCTTCAGTGTTCACTCGGCTGTCGACAAAAGCAGGCCACTCTCGATGTGTGCTACGCGATCGTCTGTTTTCTCGGCAGCAACCATTGTGTGGTCCTCCTCATTGTTCTTCATCAGCAGTTCTTTCGGTCGATGCGTCGTCGACTTTGGAAATCAACCGTTTCGTGATGAGTGTGTGAGTGCTGACCACGTTTTGCGTCCATTGCTGCAATGGACGCGCTCTGACCCTCGTTGGCGTACAACAATTTGCCATACAATGAAACTACTAGAAGCGGCTCCAGTTCTGATAGAGGAGGCTTTTTGGATAGCGGAAGATAAAGTGTTTATTGTGTTGTACCTTTTGACTATAGTTTTAAGATGTATTGTATAGTGACCAAGAATCCTCGGCTCTGTAAAGTTAATTCGGTTGAGCCTTATCAAATAAATTAATAAACAAAAAAAAAAATAAAGGTCATTGCTTAAAAAATTGCTAAATTTATCTAGGGGAAATGGATGTAATGCCGGCCTAAATGCCCCTAATTTGGGCCCATACATAAATTCAGAAATCGCCTAAATTTTCAATAGCGACCAAATATATGCATTAGTACCGTTCCACTGACGCGTTCCTCTAGATAAAATTGATAAACAGCCGATTTTTAGCGATGGGCCCAATCTTAGATCCATAGGCCAAAATTAGAGCACAGAGAACAGACATCCAAGCTTAAACAATTTTTTTTCGAAAAATTATGTGTATGAATTTAAAATAAAATAATTAAGCTCAAATCAACGGAGTGGATGTACGTCTTCAATTGGACACTGGATTTGACATCAGCGTTGTGTCGAAAGTTGGCAAGCCACCGATAATGCCATCTACGGAACGAGCCGCAACAGCGTCAGGAGATCCACTAAAGCTACTTTTCAAGTTCGTCTGCACCGTATCAATCAACGTTGAGCAACGCCAAGCACAATTCTACGTGGTGGAGAAGTCCCTTCAGCGGCTAGCAGGCCAGTGACAAGGCCTATACCAACAGCAGTGTTTGACAGTAGGCAGCATGCCCCGGGCCCAAATCGTTTATTTTGCAGTGCTGGGCCCGCTGTCACGGTATAACATGTTGCCTACGCGCCTGCCACTGGGCTGGCGGCTAGGGATCGACATGCTCGATGCTTTTGGGTTGTGGTCTGTGCCTATCAGTGCCTACTGCAACCGTGTCACCAGTTCTTCTACCACTGTGGACACTCTCAAGGCGGCATTTCCGGCAGTCTTCCGAAGTGAACTTGGATTGTGTACGAAAACAAAACATTGCCCGTAGTTGAATAATCGTTTAATAAATGCATTATAAAGGGCGAACACGAAATTATTGCGACACATTCAACAGGGCATAACTTTTTTACCATTGGGTAAAAATCAACCAAATTTTGCACACTTTCTCATTGATGTGTATTGTGTCAAACTCGAAGTCGTGTTTTTCGATTCAAGGAAAATGGAGGTGAACCAACGCGAGTTGAGAGAACAAATTCTTTCCAAACACCTGGAATTTCCTGACCTGTCGCACCGGCAGTTGGGAAAAATGTTGAATATTCACCATTCAACCGTCTCCAGAGTGTTGAAGCGGTTCCAGGAGTGGTTGACGTTGGACCACGGTAAAGGAGCTGGAAGAAAACCGGGACCGGAGAACAAAAAGACGGAGGGAAAGGTGAAGCGGATGATTAAAGCAAATCCCAACGTCTCAAGCCGTGATTTGGCTAAAAAGATCGGCATGTCGCAGAGCTGGACTACATACATACAAGGTACAGAACTTCCCAAACCGCGATGAGCGGCAACAATCGACGGCTAAAACTCGGGCACGGAAGCTCTACGAGAAGATGCTGACAAAATATGGCTGCTGTGTGATGGACGACGAAACGTATATAAAAGCCGATTTTAAGCAAATTCCGGGGTTGGAGTTTTTCACCGGCAAGAGCAAGTTCGATGTGGACGACAAATTTAAGAAGAAGAAAATGTCGAAGTTCGCCTCCAAATATCTCATTTGGCAGGCCATCTGCTCTTGCGGACTGAGGAGTGAGCCTTTCGTGACAAAGGGCACAGTAAATGGCGAGATCTACAAATCTGAGTGCCTCGAAAAGCGCCTTTTGCCGTTCTTGCAGCAGCACGACGAAGCTCCGCTATTTTGGCCAGATTTGGCATCATACCACTATTCTAAAAGTGTCCTGGAGTGGTATGAGGCCAATTCTGTCCATTTTGTTCCAAAGGACATGAATCCGCCAAACTGTCCAGAGCTGCGCCCGGTGGAGCAGTACTGGGCAATAATGAAGCGGGAACTTCGGAAGAGCAAGAAGACAGTCAAAGACGAGAAGGACATGTTAAGAAAATGGAAAAAAAAACTGAGAAACTGGTACCGGATGACACTGTAAAGACTTTGATGGAGGGCATCAAGCGAAAATGCGTTCAATTTTACACTCAAGGCTCCATCGATTAACTTTTCTTTTGATTTTTGAAGTAAATATATGTATAAAACTACCCTAAAATTTTGGTTTGATTCTAAACATTATAAGAAAATTGGCATGACATTTTCGGTGTCGCAATAATTTCGTGTTCGCCCTTTAGTGTCTAATTAAACGTTACTTCACATGAGTTTAAAGAATCCATGATGTCTCATAAACGCTGAATAATCAAAAATGTTATCGAATAAGCTCTGTTACAACTCATATAAGTCGAATAACAGCTTCTCGACATACCTTATACAACACCAATAGTT